TTCCCATCGTGGAAATTGAGTCACTGAATACAAGTGTCAGAGTGTGTGTTCAGCACATAAAATTTTCAAAAACCTATATAAGCATCGACGCCAGGTACGATGCTTTAGAGCCTTATATCGATGAGCAGACCATGCGAATCCATCACGGGACACTTGGAGGCAACGGACCTTTGAGCAAGCGGTGAACACTCATGGTATATCAGATGCTATGGCATGACAGCTTGGGTTGAAGATGGGTAGCACATGGAGCTAGAACTCTAATGCCATTTGTGAAATGCATATGTCTTTGTGACAAGGCCAACCGCAAGCACTCTCAGAATGGTCAATTATGGGCACCGCAGAGCACTGTGAAGTTGTCCATGCTGAGATTCTATCTTTCACAGGAAGGCAAACGCCTTTTCTTCCAAAGGCCAACAAAAGCACGGGTCGTCTTCCGAGCCAGAAAACAAGATCAATCATGAAATAGGTCCCCGGTCCGCTGTTTCTGACCGTGTCCACGAGGAAGCACCATGCAACCTACGTGGCTGGACTGAATGCAGAGCTTCAAGGAAAGAAGGTTTCAGGCCGGGAGACTGAAAGTGTGGAGCACGGACCTGAGAATCGCCTCCAACCTACTAGCGATGGCCTCCAAAAAAGGAAAGAAGGTCTGCCGGGACACGAATCCGAGGCACCATGAGCGCCAATGAGGAGCGCAGAACTCCGTACGTCAATGGGGAACAGTCCAAAGTCCAGCAATCAGCAATCAATGGCCAAGTGAAACTTTGTTCTTTGCATTTCTTAGCTATTTTTATGGGTTCCGGTCCGTGTGGTCACCTACGACCCATGCATACCCACACTTACCCATTGTTTGAAGAACATAAGAGGCTATAAGAGGGTCACCTTTTCCTGTGTTGAAACCGACCTTGCAACCGTCCCTGAAACTGCCGTGTTTGCTTCGCAGGTGATATGGTTGCGCTGGCGGAACTGCAGCGCACGGCGCCGGCGACATCTCCGGCGACGCGAAACCATGGAGGCGCGACACTGGCCGCCGAGTGGAAAGCGGTCAAACTGGAGGGGTCAAGTGGCTAAAAGTAGCATAGCTATTTGACCAGGGTCTTCAGGGTCTTGGTGTTTGTGTGCCACATCTAGTGAGTCTACATCTATAGTATTAAACATGGATGGGCATCTTGGCATGAGAAACAATCAGTAGCTTCTTGCTCCGTTCGCATTCGATGCCCTTTGCTCCGTTCGTAGCGTCCGATCGCTCCTTGTAGTAAGGCCAGGAGCCCTGATCGTAGCTTCTTGTTACTAGTAGTAAGAATGCTCCGTTCGTAGCGATGCCAGGAGCTCCCTTCGCAGCGTCCGATCGCTCCGGCCGTTAACCCAATGGCCCCTTGGGATGACGATTCGACGATGTGCCTGAAATCCTTCATGACGATGTCGCCAGTCGTGCCCCTCCGCATGGTGCCGCTCCGCACCATGTGACCGCCCTCCCTGCCTCCCGGGCCGCTTGTGACCGGAAGATTGGTTCGCCATTGAGTGAGGTGGTCACTACAACCATGCACTCTTTTGGGCACCTCGCTGGTGAGCGTGGGATCTGGCAGGTGAGTGAACACGTGCGCACTTCCGCGGGAAGACATGGCAACGAAAGCGATATGGAACCCATGCAGACCTTACTGATCCATGTGATCAAACATATAGAATAGCTAGGATTCTTGGCTCACAACAGCACAACCAAGATTTGTTTAGCAATGGTTGGGCACACCATGTACAATGGAGCCACACGATGTCATTCTCGCGGAAGGACTCGGGCGTGGGGACGGGTAGGGGTGGTTAGAGCAAGTGCAGCCAACGTTCAACGATGTGTCCGACATAGTTTGTGCCTCCCAACACCAGGCAAGCACCAAAGATTATTATAGTATGTTTTGGTCTTTTATTGATCGAGCACTTAACAGGTGCAGTTTTGTTGCATGTTGGAGTACTCTAAGTCGAAGGGTTTTTTTTCAATGGCGCCTATCCAGAAACAATGAGACATTGCGCCAAGACGTTTGCAGATCCTCCCAAGAGTACGGGACAGGTCTTTAGCAGCTTAGCAGCTTTCAGGAGCCAGTTTCTTCTGTGAGATGTGTATTGAACATCAGGGATTGTCTACGGTTGGAGAAACCACCTGTCAAGTTCCTCAGGCTTTACAAAGCTGTACATGATTGAGCCAAATATGTTCATGTTCACGAAAGCCCGCCGTTAGGCTAGGCTGAAAATACTTTCTGCGAACGAAGTGAGTCCTTAGGGGTCTGGGGGGGGGTAGGTCGGATAAAGCGGATGAAAGCCATCTTAGCCTGCTGGTGATTTTACTTTGCCAAGGTGGGTTTTGGCGGGTTGGTGACGCAGAAGATGCAAGGTGAATGGTTTAGTGCATCTTTGCATCAGCAACCTGCTCTAACGACACCATTTAGTTTATATATGTATGCATGTGTATATTGAATGTTTGGGTGACATTCTACTCAAACTTGCTGGTTCACGGTATTTACTTGTGAAAGTCAATTGCACGATGCGGCCTTTGCTGGCGGGTGATGGTGCAGGGCTGGTGGATGAGGAAGCTCTCCTCTTCAAACCATGGTCTCATAGGGGTCCTATAGGCTTGGATTCTCTTGGCCCGCATCCCTCAATCAGCCCTAGACTCATTGCAAGCAGGTTGGAAGGACACGATTTTCTATATTACATTATATATATACAGTATACAACAAAATATAGCAAACATCACCATTACGGTGTATTATGGTTATTACGGACGAGTTTTCTTCTTCATAGATCAAAAAGGAAGACTTATTTCTTTCCAGGAAGAGGAATCGCTGTATACGGTGCTGCAGGGCGTTTTGAGATGTGCTACGTAGTTGGTCGACAGCAGTTGGTTGCTCCTGGCTTTCGTTTCCGACAACAGGGTATCCACACACCAATCACCCACGACACCCCCCACTCCTTGGACCCGTCGCTCTCCCAGGTGAACCTGGCCTCTGCCAGCGGGTCCTCGGAACCGTCGCCCGAGCTGGGCGCCGCCATCGAGGATCGCTTCGGTGGACTCGACGGTCTCAAGGAGGCGGAGATCGATCCGGTGGATTCCGGGAGACCTCTGGGGAGTCCTGTGGGGAGGTGAGTGCTGGAGACGAAGGAGTTTGTTTGGATATCGGTTGGTGTCTTATGATCGCGGCCATAGCGCGATCATCCATTTTCATGCGTTTTTTTTCCCTTCTGAGTGCAATAAAGCAAAGGCTCCCGACACAACCAATCCGTTTGGGTCGAAGTGGACAGAGGCTAGCTCAAAAAGTGTTAAAAGCATGTATGTGGGGATGATTGGAGACCTCAACTATCTTCTCCTCCTTGTTGGAAGCTGTATAATCCACCTGAGGAGGAACAAAAGGAATACTCATGAGGATGAGTTTTTTTTTGGAGAAGTAGGCTACTGGCCAAGACCATATGGGTGCATGAAATGCCTTCATTTCGAGTATGTGTCATCCCTCGGCTGTTGGGAGGCCTTCAATAAGATAGCTTTGAGCCGCTTCGGCAGCGGATGGGCGTGGCTTGGAGTGGCGCCGGATGGACAGTTGAAGGTGACCTCCACCGCCAACCAGGACTGAGTGGAAAGGGGGTGAGGCGGTGAGGCGAACAGGAACTCAACAAAACCTCATCATAGGAGCTGGATGATCTGGATGGGATCTTCAAGAGTGTCTCATTGGATTCAACATGATTGATGTTTGACACCAATGACTAATGAGACACTCTTGAAATGTTTGATCCAATTGGACCAACCTTTTTGTTGCGATGTTAGTCAACCAACTCTCCAAACCGGGTGGACCAAAAACGTGCTTCCGGGACCGAACACGTCGGTCGAAGGGTGCGGTCCGAATTGGTGGCGCTGGTGGCGAACGTGCCACCAGTTGGAAGGCTCTTCGATCGCAGATCCTTCGATTTGAAGCGAAGAAACGCCCTCAGATCAGGCCTGAACACTGAACCCCTCCACAAGTCGGACTCGCACCTGTCGAAGACGGGTGGCATCATGTGTACCAGAGTCACTGCAAGTTGTTCGATGGGTTGTTCCAACAAACTTCAGGAAGTCCGGTGTCTTTTTCAGATGCTGCACAGACCTTGAAAGAGATGTCGAGACATGTGGGGCCATGTGCGGAGGACAATCCATTGATGGAAGGCCCGAAGACGTGCTTTGCTCTTGCGCAGAGATTGCTTTGACAAGGGTCAACGGTCAAGGAAACCAGAGGTGTTTCCTGGCTTGATCCTTCTCACTCGGATTGGTTCAATCACCATTCACTGGTTTCACCGGCTTCCCCCTGTTTGGCTTCCAAAAGACCTTTGCTCAGAAAGAGTTGGGGACTTCGGACATGGTCCTCGATGTTCGTTCAATCAAGGGTCAACCCCGCCAGATCGGCGTGCTCGCATGCGGGTAGAAGCGATGCCATCACTGAAGATGCCCAATCCAAGCCAACACTGTTGGCTGGAACCGCCACTCTGATCCTTTCTCGGTCGGTCCGACCGCTGCTGGATGTTCCGAAGATCGGAAAATGGAGTACTCCGTAGAACACCTTTCTGGGCCGGGCGATGGTCGACATGGCCTTTAGAGGTGCACTCGATGGAGCAAAGCCCAACGACATGCAGACCTGTATAAGAATTGACTAGCTGTCCTTCTTTCGACCTCTCTACTTTCCTACTGGTAGAACAGGCTGTTCTGAGTGGGCGGTATCGCTCGACGCTCCAGGTTTAGAGTACAAGGTCGAGAAGATGATCCCCATCCTAGGTCGCCCAGCTGCAGTTGCTACAAATTCCGGCGGTGTTTTGCCCTTTGTTTGCGGCGGTTCCACCGGTGATCGCGCTAAGTCAGCGTGGCAGAGACCTGGTGCTCCTAACGTGGCATTTCATTTGGAGGGTATGCAAAAACACCTCTGAAATTCAATTTAATGAATGTTATTATGAGGTTGTTTCACAAAATCAAGACTTGTTTCATGGCTTCGTGTTGGGCGCCTATTAAACCACATTATTTATGTCATGTCAGGAGTTTGTTTGAGACATGGTCAGCTCATGAGTCGAAGATGGGAAGTGGCATAGTTGGTTGGCTCTTTGTGGAACATCTTGTTTTATGCAATCTTCCGGATCTGGTAGCCCTTCAAAGTCGGCATGCCGAAACATGAAAAATACACACATGGTCTTTGTTTGTCCATGCTATGCAAGATGACATCAGGTTGTCATCAATTGTCATCCATGCTTTGCATAACGCTCCATCAACATCACCTCAGCATATCCAGCCCCAGCCTTGAAGCTTTCAAAAGACAAGGGATCCTATGTCCGAGAAGCCAAGTCACTTTGCAACATATAGAATCTAGAAATTACATCAACAAGTAAATACCTGAGCCTGAGAACTATAAGCAGTTCTACTTGCAGTGAGTCATCCGTCACTTTCATGCACTCACCTGACTCACATGACTCGCCTTCCTATTTCAGTTTGAGGATCCCAGGAATTCAGCACTGTTTGAGGCCTTGACGTGTGGGAGCATGCCTACTACCTGAAGTATCAGAACCGACGAGCCGACTATGTGTCTTGGATCCGCACCCTCCTTTTCTTCGGCGGGGCGCCCTCCTTTCGCACCTCCTGGTTTTGGAAAACGGTCGCAGTTTGGACTCACGTCGTCACTCTCGTTTGAACGACTCTCAACTGCCGGCACGACCCCGTGTGGACGGGCGTTCATGTCGCTTTCATCCAAAAGGACGGAGGGAAGGTACCCAACCACTGTGATTGCAGTTTTCCGTTTTGCATGTTTTCTTTGACAGTGTTTTTGCATGCTAAAGCTAGGCAAAATCAACAGGAACCATCCTGCGCAGGAACACTTGGGTGAGACAGGAGTCATTCCACGATCAGCATGTGATCGTGTACTCCTTCTCAAAAGTCTCCACCATCGACCGTTCTTGTACAGAGATTAAAGGACCAAAAGAAGCCACATTGTCCCACTGTTTTAAGAATACATAATACTGTAACAAGACGACTCCAAGTACTGTACTGTATCATGAATCATGATGTATATCCCCTAGGGCTCCGACCATATCCTCAGAAGATGGTTAGACCCCCCTGGCACCCACCTTAACCACCTTGGAAACGGAGGTAGTTGGAGCCCTAGGGATCATGTTTGTTTTTGACCACGTTTCCGCACAGTTTCATGACGTGAGAGAGATTCCGGCCGCCAAGGTCAATGCATTCTGGAACATCATCAACTGGAAGAAGGTTCGCCCTGGGGTCGTCGCTGCTCTTTTTCGCCCTTTGTCGGATGTTCTTTGCCAACTTACCGCATCGGTTGTGGCGCGGATGCACGAATAAACAAACAACAGGTCCTTCCTTTCCGGTGGTTGGGGTGATCAAAATGGGATGAGACGCAGACGATATAGAGAGACATCCGTACTGGCTGTTATGGTTTCCGACAGTCCATGAGTTTTGGTCATGGCTTACCAACGGCTTGCCACCATTGGGTGTGCTCGAAGGGCAGAGCATGGTCCCACTAAGTTGTTGATTTAGAACATCCGGCTCAATTTGTTTGTTTGACAAAAGGTATCAATTGGTATTTAATCTACCCAAACCTTCAACACCTCGACACCGTGGGGTGCTCAGTTATTGTGGACTTGCACATGATACACTCTGATACACAGTGATCGACCTTTGGTCGTTGGTTTTGATCATGAACATGTCCTTTACCAGGTCGGCGCCACATCAATCTGACGACTCTTGCTGAGGTCAGCCGGAACTACGAGGAGTATGCCAAGAAAGGCGGCACGGGGCTTCAAAGACCAGGAAACACTGGCAGCCTGTGGGTATTTTTTTTTGTTTGAGGGTTTCCAAAACAGTTGTAATATGTTGTAATGAAAGGATATGGATCCCCCCAAACATGTCTCTGGGCATCCCTCACTTGAGTGCACCAACAAATGGTTCCAAAGACACCGAATGCAGCTGTTCCTTTGAACGGCGGGCACCGATCGGGTCGACGATCGAAACCGAGTTTGCCCAGTGGTCGTCATGAAGAACACTCATGCTCGACGAAAGGAAACGGCGCCGGAAAAAGCCAGGGAAGCCAGTGCCACCGACACCCACTGGCAGCCCGGGGCCCCGGGCTGACTGAGATTAGAGGAAGCTGACTGAAATAGATCACTGGATGGGGATAGGGATTGGTTCTCTACGGTTCCATTTGGACTCTGCCCAAATTCTAAGAAACCTGGTTGCTTGGGGAGACATAGACATTGCTAGGCCTTGCGTTGACTCTACAGGTCATCAAGAACGTGTCACTTTGACCGGTTGGAGAGTATAGTATATGGGCCATGCGTTGGTTTCCCTTGTTTGCCATGCAAATGTTTGAAGTCTGTGTGACGCATCCAGTTTCCCACAGTAATTATTAGATTCCTTTGGATGGCTGTAGACTGTGGACACTAGTTGTTCCGAACGCAACTTCACAGTACTCCAACTGGTCTCTTGTAGACTTGCAAGTTGCAGGTACCCTGTTGGCGGGTGGTGTCAGCAAAAGGACCTTTTGTGACCCAGGGACGGTTCTCAAAAATGCGCAGAAGGAAAAGAAAGGTGTGTCAATTGTTCATTCCAAGAGTTTTGGAGGAGACGGTGGAGACATCCAATTCGTGTCCCAGAAGCAAATTTTTGGGAATTCTGCGCCCATGCAACGCTTTGGGCGTGGGGTGTGGCTAAACCTTGGGAATGTTCGTTTTCCCTGCTTCGAGTGCGACATGAACAACCGCATGGGTGACCTGCTGGACCTGCTGCCGGAATATGAACCATCGTTCCTAAGCCCTAAGCACCTGTTACCAACAACATGAACAACCACAAAGATCTAAGATCATCCGACTGCATGTCATGATGTTTGGCATCACCCAGCCGAACGTGTTGGAAAAGCGACCATGGGTGAGTGATGTTTCGCAACGGCGATCAAGAAACCCTCCCAAACTTACTGGCTGGTGACCCACTTACCAGCCACCTTCCTAAACAGACACGTATGGCTCACGAGAAGAGTACCAACCTGGCAGCCACGGTGGAGAAGTGAAATGCAATCAAGACTTTGAAGATGAACATGAACCCACGGGTGCATCCAAACCGAGGACCGAGGGCCGGCAATCCACTAGGCTTTCTGCTCGTCAGTCCTTTGGTTTTGAGTCAGGTGGATGTGTCGTTTCCATCCGTGGAGCTCTCAGGTGGTCACGCTGTGGAGCTTTGAGTGATGGGTGACGGAAGCATGTCGGAAGCGTGTGGTATGGTCGCAGAAGACCGGGTCGTACCGTCAAGGCATTGACATGTTGAGTGAACAATTTAAGGAGTTGGGCTTCCACTTGAGTTTGAGTTCTTGCAATGCACAGAGTTTCCGAACAAAGAAAAAAACATCAAGTCGCAGAAAGCAAAGCTTGACGAGGTGTCAGAACGGAGATTTTGACCACTGCGTTCTGTGACGTGCGTTGGGCGGCGACCGACTGCGCCGATGTACAGGTCCATTTTAAGCGTCCGACAAGTCTGAGTGGAAGCAGAGACAATCAAAAACACCCAATACGCAGGCGAAGGGGCACATAGCAGAGCTTGAGTTTGCCAAAAGGACTGTGATATTTGGCCAGGAGTAACTGGCAAATCAACTGAAAAAGACCAAGCTCACACAGACTCACGAAAAGCCACATATCAGGTTTTGGAAGAACGCTGTACGACTCCACTTTGACTTTGCCCATTGACAGTTTGGCTGCCTTCCACATTGGGTGCAATGAGTTTAGAAAGACTTTGCAAAGTATTGGAGAATACACTGACAGAGGTGGACCTTCAAGTCACGGCACGCAGGGCCATGGCTTTTTCAGTAGACAATGAAGTCACGGCAGAGTCCTTCCCAAAGAAACCGGCAGGTCCTGAACGAAGATTCTTCAGTCCTTCAATGGGTAGGCACTTGTTGTGGCTTGGAGCAACAGCTAAAGGTCAAGCATTCAATGCCATAACAGAACACTACTCGGCCAGCAAACTCAAAATTGTCCTAATGTGTGTATGAAGACGTGTATGTGTGGAAAACGACCCGTTGGGGAAAACGTATGGAAAAACGTGTGTGAACCTGGTTTTCACCACTTCTCGCCACACCTCGCTACCGTGCCATGAGGTGTTTGTGTTGCATGACCCTTGGAGGCATCATCCTGATGTAGTCAATGCAATCACATGTTGGTTCCTTGCCTGGTATGTGTTGTTGCCAAATTTTAGATGCATCTAGAGATGTCATGTTGACTGTTTACCTTTCCGGGGTGGAGACATTGCACGCAGTATTGCACGCTGCGCGCACATTTTTGCAAAAGCCTAAAGCCTGCTTGTACCCAATGATGAAAGGCTGGCTACTACGATCGCCCAGCATTGGCACAAAACAGTGGCAGCAGGGCCTCAGCAGGGTTTGGTGGGATGTCGGCCATTGAGTTAGCCACAGCTTTTGGTGGACACCGAGAAGTTTCGATAAGACCCGAAGTGCTGTGGGTGGTGCACTGCAATGAGGGGACAGGTTGAATGCTAGCACCAGTGCTAGCACCTTTGGCACTTGATTGACAACATTTGGTCATGTTATACATCGACATTCAACATCCATGTCCACGTCCGGTCCTTCAGAAACTCTCTTCATCAGACCAGCCATTTCGGTCTCCCCCCCCCCCCGCCGCGAAAAGCCCGACTCCATTGCCACTCGGGTGGGACGCTGCACGTGTCGCAGGTGGTACGGCGTCTGGCCGAAGTCAGTCCCAAGACGTCGCTCGGAGGGACGTCGGACGGCGGGTGGGATGAAGAGCATGCTGGAAAAAGGAAGAGCATGCAGGTGGGGTCATACAAGGTTGCCTCCCTTGACTATATAATGTGTTAAATAAAAGAGGGAAAACACAATGTTTTACCAATATATAACATATATATATAATATGATATGTTTGCCCATTTACTATTAATTTACAATAATTTACCATATATATATATACATGAGGGTACAATTTCAGGTAACGTTCCATGTTTGACACATGGACAGGTGAACGTTGGGATTGTCATCCCAAAGAGTCGCCATCTACAGATCTTAGATAGTGTTGTGCTGGGGAGCTCACCGGGCCGCTCACCAGGAGTGTTTTTAAACATGTAACAATGCCAGAGTCGGAAAGCCGAAATGATTTTGCATGATTGTAACAGATATTTGAACAAAGGTCCTACAAGTGAATTTGCATTCTCTGGATGAGACATGCTGCATCATGTTGCTTCACTTGCATAGAGGGACAGAAAGGATAGGAGGATGCTGTCATCATTGTGCAATGCCATAATGCTGAAAGATGTGGCTATAGTTCTAGCATTAAGCTCTAGGAACCCCTATGTCGTAGACAACTTTCCATTCTTTATAAAGAGTGGGTTTGGACGATATCCCATATTCGAGCCATAGCCATGTGGTTGTTGTCTTGTACCTTCGATGCTCCCGAAGTTACCCAAGTGGGAATCCAAGGGACAAACAACCCCCCCGATGGGACGCTTGACTGAGGTTGAAACAGTGAGCCCAAGCTGGTGACGAGCGGATGGAGAGCGGATGGAGCAGCCTGAAAACCAGCCATCTGAGCTCCCCATCAAAACCTCGACCAAAACCGACACCAGGTCTATCCGCTCTCTTAGACCTTCCGCTCAGGTCTATCCGTGCGCGGCCACGACCCTGCCGGGCAGCAGTCGATGTCTCACCCATTGGGCGGCCACGACCCAGTCGTCGACCGCCAGCGAGAGTGTCCCTGGAGAGAAACGTCGCACCGCCGCCCTGGTCCACGCGACCTCCTTCGGGTCGTCCCGTGAGGTCAGCCAGCGCCGCGTGGTGACAGGGCGCGATCTATCTGGGCGAAGTCCTGGGCGGCGTTGCACCCCGATTCTTTTGGGGTGGAAAGGCCTTTGAGTTGAACATCTTTGGGTCGTTTGGGATTCCAGATCTTTGGGTTTGGTGGTGAGGAACATGTGTGTTGACTCAAAGGGATGTCCAGTGTTACAGACTGGTTCCACTGAAGCTCAGATAAGCATTTCGCTTTGAAGCTCGCGGTTCTTGGAATGGCCCTGTGTTCAGCCCAATGGATGCGAGTCACATCGTGGAGACCCTGAGGTTTTGTTCGCTTGACGTTAGCTGGTCTGTGATAGACAGGGGTATTTTCCGCGGGCCACTGGATGAGATCATCCAGGTTCTTGTAAGTGCAATGGACCACGCTCCACACAGCTCCACCGCCGCTAACTTTGCAATTTGGAATCCGCCGCCAGCCACTTGTGGCTCTGCCAAATCTCTCCATACAGGGGCCCCTATATTTATTCCACGAACGTTGGCAGAGGTTTTTTTTCTGACCAATAGCCTCAAAGTATCGGATTTATCAGGTAAATATAGGGTGCCCCATATCACGCGACTGGAAGGTGCAACGAACTAAGTGGTCAAAGTTGTTCATCCACAGCAAGACACATGTTCTTGACAGGTGTGAGTGTCTTTGGGCCGGCGAATCCAAGAGGTCGAGTCTATTAGGCATGAAACTGGCTCTGTGTCCAAGAACTTGGCATTTTGCGGAAGCAGAAACATCTATTCAGATTCACGAAAGCTAGCCTCAGCTAGCTGAAGTTGCTCTTGCTTTAGCAAGTTAAATTCCGCGGTGGACGCGCCTCAGAAACCTGAAATAATATCACCAATGAAGGAGCTCAAAAATAGCCAACTTCCAACCTGAGACTCTCGAACGTCTACAGCCATGGTGCGGGCCGAATTCGTGTCGCTGGGCGTTCCCGAACATGAAGATGTTCATGGAAATGACTATGTGCCGCGGCCTTGTTGGATCTGTATGGGTGTTTTGTATGAGAGCCCAGCAACGTTTGAATCACATATGTTTTGAACAGTCACATGTTCATTCCTATTAAACGACTAGTTGATGCATGGTTAGTGTGCTCTTCTAGAATCCAATCTATGACTCGTCCCAACCCGTCGAGTCTGGATGTTTTTTTTAAAGAATACATCGCTGGAAACAAGTATCCATGCAATGCTTCTGGGATGCGTCCTGGTCACAAGATGGAGATATTGTGTACATGGTGGAATGTTAGGTGTCTCAAGTGTGGCATGTGCATGTGCAGTTATTTTTTCTCCAAGAGCAATGCGTTTTTCTCCACATGAATGAATTGAGGCAGCACTTGGATGTATATGATGGGCAAATTGTGGGTAGTGGTTGAGTACATTTGGGTACACTTGCCCCGGAGCATTCTTAGAATAGGACAGGGACCTTGGTCGAGGTTGGCAAGTTCGGCCAGGTGATGTCATTGTCGGATGGTTTTTTAAATGCATGTTTGTGCTGCCAAAGGCTTTTTTGGGGGGAAAATCCTGCCTACATTCTTGAAGAACCACAGGAAGGTATTAGAGGCTAATAGTTGTATAATGTATTCCTTACTGGCCAAACAAACATAGCGTAGCAATATGTAGCAATGGTTTTCGCAGCAACAACTGGATTGATTTTGTTGGTTCACCCACTTCCAACGGAGGACCCAAATCAGATGCATCTTAAGGTGGCTCCAGAAGAAATGCGGGCCAACGTGTACACTGTACACCTTGGCATCGCCCCTCGCTTTATGCCAAGAAAACGGGCATTGGCTCAGATGCTGCCCTCAAACCCATGAAACATAAAGGTGTCCACATACATACTAACCACCATGTTTTTGCTATGGAACACCAGGTGTTTGGGATGCTTTGTGTTTTTCTTTGTGGTCAGGTGTCCCACCATCACTCAGGTGCTGCCGGCCATGCTGGTGATCTCTGTGATGTTGCTGCTCTCACGGGCTCTCCAGATCTCATTGGCCAGTTGCCGCTACGATCGAGGCGCCCAGAAAAACACTGACGCGAAAAACGGACGCGAGAGCCCGGAGGCCCTGGAGGAGGGCCAAAGCTCCGCGAGGTTACGCACTTTCTATCATGGGAGATCAACTGTGAGCCTCAAGAAAGCTGCCAAGATATGAATCCCAGGTCCATCATGAAGGTCCATCATGCCATTTTTGCTTTTCCAGCACACATTGCCTCAACTCCACACCTTCGAGACATGGCGGTAGAAGTGTTGTTTTCAAATTCGTTACTTGCTTGTTGGTTAAACTACAGGAGTTGGTCACCAAGGCCCTTCCCAGGTTGAAGCTGTGCTTCCTGAGGACATCGCGGTTTCAGCCATCCACAGACATCAATGGGTCAAGACCCTAGAAAACCTCCAAAACCGTCCCCACGTGGGTGACCCAGGCAGTCCCACCATGCGTCGAACACTGAACGTTCCTCTTTTGTTTGGTGGATCCCATTCGTCTAACAGCCCCCGAGACACTCCATGATTACTGTCATTTTGTTCTTGTATGGACTTCCAAATAGATAGCAAAGTCGATCCCGACTAGTCCTAAAAAGGTATTGGAAACCGTGCACTATCTATTTGGGAACCACTAGACATTGGGATCGACCTGGGGTCCACGGCAAATCTTCCAGTCCCAGACAGGTCGTGTTTGGGCTAATGGATCGATAAAATTGGTACGTTGACCGAGGCAGAATCCGTCGGTGAAACCACTTGCAAAAAAAGGTCTGACCAGACTGACCACGGATCTTTCGAGGACATGCAAGGTTTGGTTTAGTCATCGCCATGTTTGGTATTTGGTCTGGTTGATTTGAAAAGAAAAATGCATCTATTTAGACTGAATGATGTTTAACATCGTTTATGATGTATACTACTCTATTTCACCTCATCCCACAGGTCTTTGGTCATAGGAGACCGCTCCGAGACCCCCCATCGTTCGCGCCAGGCGAGATTCCTGACACTGACAACATCTCCAGGCGCGGCGCACGGCGCAGCCGATCCGCGACACGAGCCGCAGACGGTTGAGCCGCACACGGTAGCCACTGGTAGCCACGGGCGCCGCACATGGTTGAGCCGGTTGGCCTAGTTATGGTTGCTGCACATGGTTTGCCGACTTATGGAAGTTGCTCAGGAGCTTTGGCTTGTTTTCGGACACTGATCACCAGACTGCTGGAGCAAGTACTGATCACCAGAGCATCAACAGACCAGTCTTGGGGACGGTGTTCATCTAGGTCGGTGTGATTGGTCTTTTGTTGACCATGATCCTTCTAGCTTCTAGGTCAATACCTAGACACCCGCGAAGATAGCAGCGAGTTGTTGAGATGGTTGTATTTGCTTATAGCACATGATGTTGACCCTTTATGCTTTTTAGCTGGGTTTTGCAGACTAGACTCCATCAGCTTTACAACATTCTGTGGGCCCCTATGGGCCTGTAACCCGTGGCAACTTAGCATTGACACAACGCTTAACAACGCCCTTTGATTGGGTGTCTTTCCTGTATACACAAATACACACGGTGAGTTGATACTTGCTATAGAATGTCAGGATCATGTGTCGCACCACTACCTTTTTTTTCCGCACACTTAGGCGGCTTAAACAGCATGAAGCACGGGATCTTCAGAAGAACATCCCAAAAAGTCTTTGGCCACATTTCGCCATGCATTTCAGGGGCGTGCCATTCTTCTTGGGCGCCTTGGGCAACGTCTTGATGAAAATCGCCAGTGCTGGGGCTCACGGTTTGCTGGCCATCAACTGGGTGCTGGCAGGCCAGGTCAACTTCAAATGACCGATCTACGACTGTTCGACTTGACGTGGTGGATGGTTGTGGACGTAAACGAAACGTGGTGGTGCAGTGGTAGCCTGCACAGAGAGCAAAGAAGCTGAGAGATGATGTGAGACATATTGCAGGAGATAATACAAAGTCGATATGACAAATGTGTGACTGTCATATTTTAATAAGTAATTGCATGTTGACCTTCTTGCCGCTAGTCAGAAGACTTTACCCGACTTGCTCAGTCTGAGTCTTGTTATGCCACTGACCCTGGATTCATTCCCACATGTTTGGACCTGTTCAGAGCAAATGAACATGGCCCCCTGTGTAGAGGAACATGCTTCAGATAGTCCACATGTGGTGATCTGTCAGTGGCAAGCGATGCGGTTGCACATGCTTGTTCTCTTCCTCAGCTCTGGAGCCGGCCCTGTGGACGACTTGCCAGGAGCAGAGCCTGGTGCGCCGTTGGTGGCATCCTTTGTCGCTTGGAGGATGCATGTGTGTAGACACTGTATGGTCGGCCATCAGTGCCACCGGTGCCATCGGCATTGAAACGGCACTGTGCCGGAGGTATTTGGGTCCATCCTCAGAAAAAAAGAAAACGATCCACGGTGTTGTTGAAAAGCTCATGGTGATCTGATCGGTCCACAACATCCACAGAGCTTGTTGGGGGAGAAAGTTGCCTGGCGGCTCGCCCAGAGATGGGCTCGCACCCGCGGGCGCGCGGGCCAGGTGATCCGTCGGTGCCTAGTCTAGTTGTCCATCTACCGAGATCCGGAGGGCATGTTTGTCCTCTTGGAGTCATGGCCATGTGAATCAATGAAAGTGTGCATGCCGTATCTTTCATCGCCTTAATCCCAGGGCAAAAAGAACGGGGTATGCAATAAGTAGAAGTATGTGAATTGCCGGTTTGCCTTTATCATCCCTTTCACCATCGCCCAACGACGCCACCGCGACGAAACGCCACCGCAGCCGGCGCCATCGGCGTTTTTTTGATGTTCTGGTGACCATTAACACACACATCGCGAAAGGTAGCCTCAAGCTATCTGAGTTCTCCTTGCTTTCGCAAAAATGTATTGCAGTCAGGACTTGCTGCTGTGCCTAGAGTTTGGTCCTGTAAGAAGGGATTCTGTTCGACAGGGCCCCCCCCGCTGGATCATTCCCCCCCTGCGCCGTCGCTGTTTGGGTCACATCCATCCACCTTTGACGCCGTCATGGACTTCTACCTGGGTTACTTGTGATTGCCTGCTACCTTTCGGAAACACCCCCTTCTCTCAAGTGCTCTTAGGTTGGAGGCCATTGCTATTAGGTTGGATTATACTTTGCATAGCCCTAGGGCTCCAACCATATCCTCAGAAGATGGTTAGACCCCCCTGGCACCCACCTTAACCACCTTGGAAACGGAGGTAGTTGGAGCCCAAACGGGCAGTATCAAACGTCTTTTCTTGAGGTTCTGGTGGCCATCAACACTCACATGCTCTACAGCGTGGCTTTGGTGGTCCACCTGCGTGCGCTGCTGGCGGCCGTGGCCATCCAACACCACAAACGGGTGCACTTCCAAGGCGTCCGTCGATGGGCCGATTCCAGACTGGCGTCCAGACCGACGTCCTAACCGGAGAGGGCGGAGATGGACCCTGCTTGGATCTATTGGATTCCTCTAGGAAGCGAACGAATGAGACAACACGTGACATGATCTATCATGAGTCGCATGGAGTTTGCGACCGACTGAAGAACCAACGTTCGGAAGGCAGGAATTCCCGCTACAAGCCCCCCCTGAACTGCCAGAATGGGGGTCTTTTGGAGGATACATCCCAAAGCATCCCAGAATACTTCCTATGCATAAAATTGGAACCTCCGATGTTGTGGCAGGTTCTGCACCACGTTCAAAACCGGCCACTTCCCAACTTGGTGTGCGTACCCAACTGATCACCGCAGACAATCCAATGTTCACCCACACCACCGCCCACCTGCCCCCCCACCTGCCCCACCTGCCGCCCAATTCCGGAGGCATCACCGATCTGTGGGGCGCTCCTAGTGGTTTGACCTGCCTAGTGCTCAACGGTCTCAGCACCGCGCTGCTGCTGGCAGCGCTCGGGATGTCCTCCACGCGCCCCGAGCGGATTTTGACCTGGTTGGATGCTCGGCCAGCGCTCAGATGTCATGGTGGAACTTGTGACAAGCGCCTTCCACTCTGTAAATTCAGGATCCTGTACCCTCTCCCCGTTTGGAGAAAAGCCTGAAGAACACAGCCCTATAGCTAGTCCGGCAGTTTTGTATGACTCCTTCAGTGGGCAACCTTTAACCTTTGTTTCCCCCTGGGGGGGCAGGGCGCAACAAAAATCAAAGGGCAACATGCTTGGGAGCTTTGTTATACCAGTTTTTACAGGAATCGGAGACAAGGAACGCGATGAGGAGCAGAACCAGGAGGAGGACGAGGAACAGGACGAGCAGAACGAGAAGGCGAGGACATCAACCAGCAACGTGCTTCAACGCCTTCGCCAGCGTGTGCGAAAAGACACAAGGGCGTTCAGTTCCATTGGCGCCGTTGCTCACTGTTTGATGTGGTGATTGCCTTTTGATGTTTTACTGGACTGCAGCGATGGGTGGTAGCCTCCAGCTGTTTTGTTCCTTCTCCATATTTTGCAGTTTTGCTTGAGGCTTGGCTTCTTTAAAGTCTATTTTTATAAACGTTTTCTGATGCAAATTGGAGCCGTTTGTGTTTGATTTGTATTTGCTCGTCGACTTTGAGTGATGTCAAGCGACTGCGACTGCGTCACGCCGTGCGCTGGCAGTGCCCCTTGTTGGCGTTGAACCACCTCCCCTTTGTGACGGGCCCGGCCCGCAGCCCCGCAACCTGCGACAAACACCACGGCAGCACCTTCCGGGCCCCCCACAACGAACGAGACGTCGCAAAAGCTTCCGGCTGACACTGCCCCCCCGCCACAACGGTTCAGCCCCTCTTCGCAGCGGCGCCGCGACGAAGCCCGACTGCGACCCTCGCCACGCGAGCTGCGTTTCTGGCCCCTCGGCTGCGCAAAATGTGTATTTTGTTTTGGTGGCCCACTGCCATGTAACAATGAAAGGCATCCTACCACAAATACAACACCGCGTTCAAATTTAACGAAGACGAGGGGACATGGCGTCATGGCACTATGAAAAGCTTCACACCGCATTGAGGCCGAAAGACAGGACCACCTTGGAGCAGGTCAAGGTGATGGACAAGTGGCCAAAGAACATCTTCACCAACCGCAACCCGGAGAAGACATGATATAGGGTTTTAAGCTGTCTGGCTTGGAGCCAACGGGCCCCTCTGACTAAATTGGCGAAAACTAAGTGGTAAAAAGTTCGTTCTGGGGTTTGCGCCCCCCAGGTCACCTCATGACGTTGATGGCCACAGATAAGTTTGCAAAAGCACTTTCGCAGAAACTTGGCAGACTTCAATCGCGTTTTCCTCTTTCTCTGTCCCCTCGTCTTCGTTAAGTGTGAACGCGGTGTTGTACTTGTAGTAGGATCCCTTTCACTGTTGAATGGCAGTGGGTCACCAAAGCAAAACACACAATTTGCGCAGCCGTCACCTGAGGACGCCTGGGGATGGAAAGTCCTCACATGTGAAGAACAAGCTGCTGCCAGTGTTCAAAGGCCGGAACCCGGCGAAATTTTTCACCTCTTCATTCAGCCCGGGCTTTGCTGAGCGCAAAGCGAAGAAGGAGGGTATCAACACTGCCCTGGGGCTTGCGCAACTGAAACTGGTGAGGCCTCGCCTCAAAATGGGCCGATCGTCTTGGCGGCCGAAGAGGGAAATCATCCTCGGGACATATATACTCTTTTGAAGCATGGCTGTCTGTTTTCTACTTGCTCTTCTTACTTGCCCTTGCCTAATACAATGCAATTAATGTTGGATTTTGCTTAGTAAAAGGGCCCTCCCCTCGCCCTCAAACAAATTGATGGTCCTCTTTAATAAACTACCACCAAAACAAATTTGGGGAGGATTCCTTTTGTACTTGATTGTAGTGTTCATTTTCCTTTCTGAAGTTCTTTGTCATTAGGTATTATTTGCAATCCTTTCATACTACTACATAAAGGATTGATTAAGGAATTGATGGCTTTGGGAAGCTGTGAGTTTTGAAGAAGAACTATAGAAACCTATACTTATATGCAGACTCTCAGCAAGCCAACCATTGGCTTAGTAGTCTTAAGAACTTCTATGTTTATTTTTTCAAGAAAACACTTTGCACAATTGAGGACCCTTAAAGTAAATTCATTATTGAGGATCGCGGGCCTTCCTGGTCTACTACCTTGAAAATTTGTTTAGGAGCAATCTTTACATAAAGGGTTGATTAGGGAGTTGATGGTTTTGGGAAGCTGTCAGTGTTGAAGCAGAACTTCAGAGACCTATACAGTAACCTTTACTTATCAATACTCTCAGCAAGCCAACCATTGGCTTAGTAGTACTAAGAATTGCAATGTTATTTTCTATACAAATTTCACAAAAAAATAGGGTCCCCCCCCCAAAATTAGCATAATAGAGGACCCTTGACACAAACAGGGTGTCAAGCATTATTTTTTCAAAAATAGCATTATAGAGGGCCCTATTACTAATCAGCATCCAACATTAATATGTGTCGTATATTGAACCTGCGCGTGACATATGTAAAGGAGTGCCAAGATCTGTATGGCCTTGGCCCCTTCCAATGCACAAATGTTTGGCGGCTTCTCCGGTCCGCTCGAGCGTACCCAAAGCACTTGGACCTTGCCTACTCCTCGCGCGGCCCGGGACCCGCCGTGGCATCAACTTTCTCAAGACGTATCCGAAGGACGCTCTGTTGTCAAAAATTCGAAGGACATCTTTGACAGGTGCGACGATGCGTGGCTGGCTGGAGCCAAGGACGGCTGTTTCAATACACGCATCTGCGTAATCTTCGGGAACGCTGTTCGACATCGCCGTTGCGCAGCCTAAAAAATATGTGAAAACGGAGTGAACTGATTTGATCCACAACTGCTCCGATGTTTGCTTGGTGTTGTTCAATGGTTGTGTGGTCGCAAGATGGTTTTCTTGGCAACTCAATTCAAGGTGGTTCTAGTAGTATGGTTGTGTTTTGGTGATTTTAGTCGTTGTGTTTTCATTGCTAGTCTGGCTGCAGCCAGTTGATTAAGGGCATTAGGTGCTGAGTCTTCCACCTTCCCCACCGACATCATCACACTGGCAGATTCTACATAATGCAACTTTAGTTGCCACTTTTTTCTTTTACCCACTTGACTACATCATGATCAGGGCACTTCTTTTCACCACCCGCTTGACTTTGATTACATCATTCTCTTGAATTCATCCCTGCGGCGGTCTTCTTCAATGTCAATGCCTGTGGGCAGGACCTGCGGGTCACATCGCCTGTGGGCAGGACCTGCGGGTCACATCGCCGGAAAAATAATTTGATCTGATTCTGGGTGAAACAACATTTTTATATGGTCAATGGACATGAATCAAATTGACCTCACCAATGAGGCCAGCCAAACAAACAACAATAGGTGACTAAAAACAACAACACCAGGCAAACCAACAACAAACCACAACCTCGAAATAAAGATTGAAACAGTTTGACTCAAACAAACACAAAAAAACAACCAGACAACCACAGAACAACGCCAAGTTTAACTTGACCCGGTAGGAGTCGCGATAGGCTATTTGGATTTTGTATACGCCCAACCACCCTCACTATTTTGATTATGATCATTCCATCGAAAACCGCCGGACTAAAAATTGAATGTCAAAACCAAGAACTTGGGCATTGCATCCACAGGGGTCCATTCTTGCCATTTTTATGATGGAGGGCAGAGGGAATCAAACTTCAGACAACCCGTGTTAGAAGTGGTGCACGTGCCGTTAGGCCTTCTCTAGGACTGCGCCCGAGTAGAGCATCAACATGAGCGAGAGGGTTCTGATTCGATCACTTGTGGCAGTGCACCCCACACATGTTCACAACCATGTGATAGACGGAATGGATATTATTCAGTTGCCAATACTTTGTGGCGTTTTCCCTTTTGTTGTTTGGTGAGGCGCACCCAGTGTCGAATGTCTGAGGCAACCGCTGGCGGATTTCTCGCTTGGGCCAACAGATTCTCGCCATGGAACGGCTTGTGCGGGCTTGTGCGGCGTGCTGTGCTGGACAAGAAAAAAGATCAATGGCCTGGAAGTTGGTTAGATTGGTAAAAGTCAGGAACAGACGATCCTCGTTTGTGTCGATCCTATTAAAGCCTTCTAATATAAGCAAGTGGACCATCTCCTGTATTCCCAACGAATCGTCCGACTATTCCTGGCACCCCCGACTCGGTGGCGCCGCGACTCGAACATCTCTCGATTCGGTGCAGCCCGCGCGTGCTTTCTATACCTCTGCGACACGATCGGGTCGACTGAATGCCACGAGGTCAGATCTCCTTTAATGCCAATTTCCAGCATCTCACTGAGTCACTGAGAGGTCACCTGACAGGGTGTCCTTTTGAGAAATGTGAGCTAACAAAACCCTCTGTTCGTTCCAGTGTGGTGGCTGAAGCAGGACAGGTTCAATGAGTGGTGAAGTGGAAACTATATGTCCGTACTCACTTTTCATTTGAAAGTCCAACTTCGACGTATCACTTGTATGCTGTTTTCTATCAAATTAATATCAACTATCATGCTTCATCACATGCAGAATTCTCATCATCTTCTTGCCTCCAACCTCCCTGCATCGCTTCACTCTACACACCCCCTCCGGTCGCGACAATCCACGCGTTTCTCGAGTCCGGTCGACATCGTCGTCCGTCGTCCGGAGGCAACTTCAAGTCGGTGGGTTTGATGGACTCGGTGACCTGGAAGGACTGGGCCAACGGATGCGCTGAGACTCCCAACCCCGCACCCCAGCGGTGGGAGAAGAGGAATTCGTGGCTTGGTGGGGTGGCCTGGCGTGACCCGGTTTGCCTGTGATTGTGATGGGATTGGATTTGCGGTGTTTGGTTCCTGATATTCTTGCATTTTTTGGGGGTACCGTACTGTAGCTGTCGCGTGTGGGTAAAATATTATCATAATGAAGGTGCTGGCTTTGATATAATGTTGAGCCCCCAATATGCCTGTCACAACACCGGCTGATCTCAAGAGATTCAAGGCTTTTCTGCTGGGTTCTTGATTTTGGTGGTTTGCTCCAAGATCTGGTTGTTACGGTTGAAAGCCCTATCCACTTCTTGATATAGGTATGCAGAGAGATGAATTCGATTCCTTTTTGCCGTTGAGCATGTATCCTGGCATCGTGCCATGAACTGATCCTCAGAGTGGCCCCTACTAGTTAAAGATGGGCAGCCATCTTTGATGCTGAGCTTGACCAGGAGATCGAGTCCGACTTCGATTCCAAGTGCGTTTTGCCGGTGGCAGAATTCATGAGGAGCCAAGCAGACCGGGAGCAGGTTAGATCGGTTTGCGATCGAAGAGACTGCGATCTGGTTGGTGACTTGGTGTTTGCTGAGAAGAAAATTTCCGAACTTTGGAGTTTTTTTTCCAAGCAGATCCTCAATCTCCATCTGCCAAAGTTACAAAGAGCCCAAACAGGTATATACTCCGAAAAGGTCGTACTCTGCTGGACAACATTGGTAGCTTGCATGTCTACAAGATTGGTGGGCCAACCTGTCGACCCTTACCTTTTCATCCGCCTCTCCACCTTTTTCATCGCCTGAAGGAAACAACGAAGAATTGAGCGTTCTTTTCCCTTGCAAATCTCCGGCTCCTTCCGAACAATCCTCCAAGATGACCTCAATCCTGATGAACAGCATAATAGAAACAGATCGAAAGTGGATCATACATGACATATCAATAAGAAGGCGACGAAACTCATTAGCTGTCAGCGTTTGAGGAACTGGCTGGTTTGTGGAAATGGTAGCGTTTGCTTTGCATCAAAGTGACAAGGACAACAACTTGGCCAGGATATCCAGCATTTCGCTATTTAATGTGCATAATCTATGACCACGGTATCCTTGAGAGATCTAATGAAGAGACGATGGTAGACACACATCGTGCTGACAGCTTCGAAGATTTTGGTCGGTGATGGGGTTTTGAAGAGGACAAAGTACCATGGTTAATAGACACGGAAAGCACAGAACCAGGCAGGCTCTCTTGCCCTTTCGCTGGTCAAGATTCAATCAATGTGTGAGGCCAAGATAAACCCATTTGGCCCCTAGTGGCCCCTAGTGGCCCGTGCGGTGGAGTGAGAAGGCGCTCATTGGCATTTTGACAGTTATTTAGACGAGTGGTTGATGCAATGATTGTGATGATGGTGGTGCTTCCGTTTCGTTCTTGTGGGAGTGAGGAAGGGCGGTAAATTTGACCAGCCTCAAGTGCTGTCAACATTGCAATCGCAGACCATGGGCCAACAAGGGCGCCATTGTTTCAGCCTTGCTACATTTAAAAGCAACAATTGTGTTTGACGCGTACAGATGTCACGCCTGATACAGATGCTCCATAGATGCTCCATACTGAAGAAGCTTGCCGATGTCACAAGAACAAATGGGTGGCCAGGAGCCTTGGGGTTGCGGTGGAGAAATCTGGCGACAGCCCGGATGCGCCTGGACGGCCCTTGTGGCTGCGGATGGTCTCATTCCATTTCAATGAGGACCACCGACTTTCAGCGAGCGCTTGAACTCCCATTTGGGTGAAGATCCTTTGGTTCCGAGCCCTGCAACCAGAGTTGTCTTAGTAGGACTCTTTTTATGGCTGTGGCTCCTTGAGGTCTTTGAGGTGGAAAATAGAAAGCACCCTCATTTGGCATTGGGCTAGGTTCAGTTTGTTCCAGCCCCAGCTGCAGTTTGTATGCATATACACCGCAGTTCCCTGTAGCGCATCACATCTTGACATACGGCGCCTTCGCGTACGCGTCCGACAGGACGACGAGCTCTTGCTGCGGCATCGCCCGGCGGTGCTGCGCTGCGCGTTTCCGACGTCTCCGCGCTTCCGGGCGGCCGCTGGGCGGCACCGGGCCGCTGTGGCCCGGATGGGATGGAATCGATTCCACCCATCAACCCGAACGGAGAAGACCGTTGGATCCACCGACCGCACCAGCGAAGCATGGGGCGAAAACGGCACCACCATGCGCGACCACACCAGTGCATCTGCGAACGATTGGGCCAAGTCGGACAAGTGCCATGACCCACTGTCTTCCTGTGAGTCTTCCGGTGACACCACGTGTGCGAACGAAAGGCCTCCGGTGTTTTCGACCGGCCCGGCCTGAAGAGGCACATGCCACAGCCTTGATGATGCTGGGACTCTTGAGCAGCGCAGTGCCCGGGAGCCTCGGCATGCCTCGGTCACACTCAAGCACGAACACATCACATGGAAGCGGCCGTGGACATGGCCTTGTTGGTAGAGGAAAGTCGTTGCAAGCCCTGTTGAAGAGAGATTTTCACCAATAAGCCACCCATGCACCCTGTTTGAATGCAAAGAAAGTGCCCTGTTCAACAAACACCATGAGCAAGATGAACCAACTATAAAAGGACACACAACATTCGTTCGCAGACTAATTGCAGAACCTGGGATCCATATTATGGAATCGACTACTCCGCTGGCTAGTAATGATTTCCCACACATCACATCGACCTGCGCTATCCATTTATCTGGATATGCACATCCAATTGCCAGCGTCAACAGGCAAAGTGGTGGTGTAGGTGAGGGCGCATAGCAGCAATTTCCAGCTAAACAAAGGTGGACAGTGTCGGAGGGCTTCCTTCTACTTGGCACGCAGGTCTAATTCCTTGCTCCTTGCTACAACCAGGGCAACTAGAGTAATTAAGTTATAAAGCGACATAAAAGGAAGTGAACCATGTTAGGTGTAAATTCTGGGAGTTTGTTGAACCACAAAGTCCAATGGGTATGGCCTACCCAAATGTTCAGTTTGTTTCGATTCGTGTCCAGCATGCAGAGAAAGCACGCTCTCACTGTGACTGAGAGGGACGGAATGCATCCGGTAATTGAACGGCTTGGCAGAAAGGCGATTCAAGTGTTGACCCATTTGTTTCATGCACAAAAGCCGCAGAAGAGGTGCAACAAAACATCCAGAATTGTTGGCTGACAGGTATTGGGCATTTGGTTCCAATTCTTTTTTTTTTATGACAAGTGTGTCGTTGCTTCCTCGGAAATGAGCCTTGTGGTACTATAAAGACTTATGGGTTCCGATTGTGAGAGCTGACACTTCTCCCCACCTTTCTCGACACCTTTCTCCAGCTCGACTCGCTCGCTCCAACTCTCCAGGCTCCTGGTGGGCTTTTGCTGGTCACGGCTGCCCAAGCTGCGGGACGTGGAACTCGTCGGTGGCACCGTCTTCCCGGAGTTGACCTCCAAACGTCAGGACGGTCGTGGAGACCGGAGGTCGACCGGAGGGAGACCGGAGACCGGAGGTCGACCGGAGACCCACGTGGACAACGCTCCCTTCGGGGCGGCCCGGTCTGATCTGCGGGTTTGTGTGGGTTTGGGTTCTGGCAAGACCTGTTAGGTCAAGCGAGGTGAGTTGGAAGAATGGGTTGGAAATGAGGACATGTTGCTGTTTGCCAGTGACTTTTCTAAAATTTCTTTGTTTCACAAGTTCCACGTTTGTATCATCGTTCGGGGTCTCCAATGTTTGCTACCCTGCACTGCTTGTAGGCTTCCAGAAAAGCCACCCATTGGATGCCATTGGATGATCCTAGTAAGTTAAGTTTTCAGTCATGTTCAGTCAAAATCAGATTGATGCTGCCACCGATGTTGGCTAGGATCGGTTTCAGAGCCTTCCGTAAGATCATTGGTGCGTATCCTGAGTGATCCACAGACATGGCATTTCCTGGTTATTTGTTTGTTCTTACCTCTAACGGGACCTGTAAACAAGCAAATCACTCTGTTTGAACAAGCCTTCATCATCCACTGGGCCCTGCTAATAGGATAGACCGATAGACCCAAGGTATTTCTACATATTCTGACAGGCCATGCCACCGGCAAGCTGTTAATTATTGAAGGTTCCTGTGTGGAGTCTGTGGATGGCTTGCACCTTTGGAAGAGTCCATATATGGCATGAAACCATTTACCCAGAATCTCAACAAACCGATATTGTTCCCAAGAGGAATATCCTCCACATCGTACGACCCTTTTGTTTTTCAGGCTAAGTGAGTAGGGTTCTTTTTCTTGATTGATTATGTACTCAGAATAGGCCCACAGATTGACTTTACAAGTGCCTCCACCAGAAAAGCACCGATCGGCCGGTCACGCGCGCGGCTTCGCGAAGTGGAGGACTATTACATCGAAGTGGAAGATTCTGGAAGCAATGGAATTAGCATGACCTTCATGATGGAGTCAACTCTTCTTTGAAAGAGGATCCCTCAGACTGCGTAGCAACCTTCAAGTCTGGAGTGGAAGACTCGGAAAATTGGTTTTGTTCTACCAAAGTTGGTTGCTATGCTAGTCTGGGGGAGTAGCATTTTGAATATTCTTGAACCCTTTTTGATTCTGCTGGAACGTTTGGCAACACGTTGACACTGTGGCCAAACAAAGAGACTCGGTTACCAGTTACCGGTTACATGATAATACTAATCCCCAACAACACACAACCCTTTTTTGGTTTTGTGAAGCATCAATTTTGACAAAAGGCGTTTTTGTTTCGTCGACATCAGCAAGGATTGGCAAAGGATGGCAGGTGCCGCAAGGTCAGGAAATGGCAAGAATAAAACAATTTGAATATGAATTCTTTTGTCTTTCCCAGCTCCACCAAACACACACAGACACACGATCGAAACTCGGTGCACTCAGGTTGGGTGAGGCTTCCAAGTATCGCTTCTGCTGCGAGGGTGCCGATTGCTCGGACCTCCAGGCGGACGACAAGTCACTTGGAACCCGCGAAAGCCACGCGCGCGAGCCACGCGCAGGTTCCGCGCGGCGCGCGAAGCGCCTCGGGAGGAGGAGAGCGAGTTGGAACCCCTAGGGATCCACTGGCACCCTGTGCGGTACGGTGAGGACGGAGACACTGAGACACTGTAGGTGACAAAACGTCGGGTCCAGTCATGTCCAGTCGTACCGGGTCCAGTCGAGTGGTTCGGTACGACTGGATCCGACAACGACCGAGTGAAGTAATCTTCGTGTATCCATGGGGTGTCCGTGTGTTGCATGGTCCTGCCAGTTGTTTGCGATGGTATAGCTTCAGGACGGGTTCACTGCTTGTGGCAACTGTAGAGTCGTTGAGTGAGTGTGATGGACGACCCCAATTCCTGCAAAGAGAACGAAGAGAAGTGAAGGGTCGATTCGTTTGATTTCTTTCAGTTCTGGACGCGATTGGTTCAGCATCTCAACCCGAGGTCTGGGCAGCTACGCTTGAAGTCCATGATCGCTCCGCATCAGTTCGGCACCTGCTATCTGGACCTGAGGGGTCTTCGGAGCAACAGGCCCACCAGCCCGTTGCGAGGGCCCGTTGCGAGGGCGGAAGCGTCATCCGAGCTCGCCCTGAAAACATGGGCATTGGACTCACTCGCGCCTGAACATGGCATTTGGACTCACTGAGCATGTTGTCTTCATCAAGGCGTTCTGGCTTGGTGTGCCCCAACCCCCAACACCTTGAAGTCACAAGTCAGCACATTACACATTGGTTCGTGGGCTGGGGCTTCCATTGGGCACCCCTTGGAAGCAGCTGGTATGATATGTGTCAATTGTATCTTTGGCCTAACAGGATTCGGCCAGAATTCTGGCCTCTTTGGACCTTCTAGATCATGAACCACTCAAAACCCGGCCCTACAATCGGGTGGGTGGTACTCTCCCAGCGCAGCGCTGGGCAACGCGGTTCCTCATCGTCCAGGTACAACTTCACGGTGCTCTCCTTGAGACATTTGTCGCCTCGTCTCAATGCCGAAGTGGACACTGGTTTTCAGCCGTTCCAACCCATCGTCCACTCCTACCACTGCGACCTGGTGAAGCCAGCAGCTTGGTGAGAGCCGCAGGAGAGGTGGAACATGTTGGGACGCGTTTTTGTTTCTTGGGGCCGACAAGAGAAAGCATGGGAGACGGTGTGTCCGGTGTGTAAAATGCAAACAAGGACACCCCATTAGTTTAGGAGTTTGGAAGCTGACCGACATCAAAAATGACGTTTCTGGGCATTTGTATTGATTGCGGCGAGTCAGCTTTTTTCATTGGATGCTAGTCATTGTTCCTTTGCTTCGCATGATCAAAACACGTTTACACAACTATGCATGGTTTGCTGGATGTGCATTCTGCTTCAGGTGGACGGAAAACAGGTTTTGTTTGCACATATTTAACCCCGAGGAGTTTGAGAGATCAATTTCAGATGTTTGTAATTAGAGGACTTCAACTCTGTTATAACTGTTTACATCTGTTTACATGAAGTTGCATCAAGCTTAATCCATCCCATCCATCCCATGGATTGTGGAATCACAGATGGCGGATTGACAGATATTGACAGTTCCTGGGCTGTTGTCGTTGGTCAACCACGCGGTTCGATCGGAGATGCTGCCCTTGTGTCGCAGGTTAGGATTGCAGCTTCTGGACGTTTGGGGTGTGGCTGCGGATTGCGGAGACATGTGGAGACGAGTTAGACTTGGAATTACCGCATTACCCAGATCTAGTACAAATGAACTATATATATATATTATAATATATTATAATATATATATATAGAAAGTTGTGCTTATCAGGGTCCTCACATAGTCATCAAATCCGGGCCCCCTGGCTGAGGACAAGTTGACTGAGCTCATTCTGACCTCAGCCGTCGATTTAGATCCCACACGGATGCACGCGGAGATGGAGGTCTCGAGCTCTGATGGGATGGCGACCTTAAGCTCCGAAGGGGAGGTGCCTGAGCCAAGCTGGCGAAGTCTAACATGGCGGGGGACCCCCTTTTTTTTGATCCCTCCAGCGAAAGTGAAAAGAATAGAAGACCTAGGACCTAGGGGAGATCAACCTACCAAGGCTTCTGGGTCCGGGTTGAAGGACCCATGGCCACATTGATACGAGAACATGGAACACATCATTCTGATGTCGACTGTTGAGGAATTAAACACCGACTGGGTAGATGTTTAACCATCCAGTTCGGTGCGGGTTGTTAACCAATCAAGTCAGTAGGAGCAGAGCTCGAAGACCTAACGGCCTACAGCTCAGAACTCACTTGGACTAGTAGCATGGACGTGTCATGATGTGCTTATCATGCTGCATATACCTTGTTTTGGTATTTCTTGCCGGGAGTCAATCAACTTGAAGAGCTTTCCAAGAAGGGTATTTGTTTATATATAAACGCATCATTTTCAATGTGTTAATTCAACTAATTGTTTCAAAGCCACCCTCTCATCCCAAAGGCTTACTCGTTCACCGGCAATGCGCGGCTGAATTTTCGTAGTGTTGGAGACCCCACGACTTGCTGAATGTTCATACTGGAGATCAAGATGGATCAGTATGTTACCCCCGGAGAACTCTCTCGTTCATTCATGGTGTTTGGATCGCAATGTTTGACACGATGTTGTTGACAGTAGCACAGCAAATCGAGTGCGGGCTCCGCTCCAAAAGTTTTTTGGACTGTAATTCCTAGACCGTTGTTATTTTGCGCCAAGAGACTTTGCACGACACCAGTCTTCCTGCAAAATTCGACCACAATACCAAGAAAGAGGTTCAACCCAATCAACCCTCAAAGTTGTGATGTCCCAACCAGCCTTTTGTTATTCGATAAACCCACCCCAACCAAACGATCCTTCCTCAATCAGTCTAAGGACCCAGCTCGCTCTGTGTCACTGCACGCCAACTTGGCGAACTTGACTGGTGCTTTGAACCTCTCGTTACTCATCCGTTTGCGTCCAGCGGACCACGAGCTGCGCCCGCCCAAACCCGAGCTGCAAAGCTATCAGCGACTGGGACGACGGCGGCGTGCGGTTTCCTCCGGTGCTGTTGATGGTTGGTAAGGCAAAGCCTTGTGAGAAGTGAGAAGTATAGAGACACCTTTGATTGGGAAGGTGCGTGCAGTATTTTGAGTATAGATATAAAATTAGGAATTAATCCCTTGTATATTCGATCTGGGTTTACCGAAAAGGCTTGGCTTTGTTCAGGTCATCAACTGATAACTCTCAAATAAGACTTGGTCAGTCCTGCAATGATGCTGAACGAACTCCTACACTGACACCCCAAATAAACATGTTGAACCCTGCAGGAATCGCAATTCATCGTCAATGTATATGTTGATTTCTGGACATCACCTACGAACTGACGCACGAAAACCGCAAACCGACTGACGAACACCCAGGATCTCCGCGAGTGTCGTGACGGTGGCAGAACGTTCGCGGCAGTTGGTGGGTCGCTTGGAGTGAGGAGTAGATTCGTGGCGATGGAGTTGAGGATTTAGGTTGGGGTTAGGATGTCTTCGGGTTGGGGACTGTTCTTTGTGTTTGGATGTGAATCACCAGTGTCATGAGAATATTTGATGCACGAATTGGACCTGTGTCCTAGCCAGTCATGGTTGCACTTGATTGCATTTGATGCAAGGTCAGGTACGGTAGATGGGGTGGTTGCCATAATTATTGTGTTTGTATGTGCACTGCGTGCTCCCATGAAGAACACCGCACACAATCGAAAGCAACGTATCTCAGCTTCGTTGGTTCCGTTCTTGTGCACCCGCGCCGCCATTGGGGCAAGGCATTCATGTACGGCTCCGCGCAAACGTTCTACGTGCAATCGCTACGTGCTAACGCTATGCACAATTGCAACTGAGGTGTCATCGCTGAATTGCAACTGGGCGACAGTGACATTTTGCTACCGTCAGTGGTGTACCTGCATTGATCAATATCAAAAAAAATGGGACAAAGACTAACACGTTCACTTGTGGAATGTACGAAATGTTCCTTCAATGAATCAGAAAAAACTTTGGGGCTGTCTTATTTTCCACTGGCAGGCAGCCACTGTCAGAACATCAGGTTCCTTAGGTCTATGTGTCAAGTGATTGGAACCAGAAATTCGCCAAGGCTCGCTAGGGAGGTGGCTGTCCACAGACCTAGCCAAAAGAATGCAAGAAAAACACATGCTGGTTTTGATAGTCAACAAGGGTGCAATGTTGTTTACTTAGCACATACGGTACTGGCACTTTGTGTACTGGCACTTTGAGCTATACATGTGATCCCACCCTGGTTCTCACGGGTTGATCAGCTGCGATCAGCCCATGTTTAGGGTCGTTTAGATTCCAGCCAAGGCGTGCACAGATCGAGGCCAATCAAGAGCTGCTCGGTGGAAACAAGAGAAGTCGCTTGGGCGTTCCTTCCAACAGGTCTACTCCAAGTAGAATGAAGACAGTCTTGCAGAGTGTCCACTGTTGAGAAGCCAATTCGGTGTTGTTTCTTTCTGAAGACTTCCAACGACCGGACTCCGACACCCGCCGGCGGGCTCCCCTTTCAGAAAGACACAGACGCTGTGACATCAACCGCATTGGCCATGGCCTTGGTGACCGAGACGACGGAAACGGATCGACGGATATCGGCGACGGAGAGGGTCCTCTCCTTGGTTCACCACTTGGGAAATCAGAGGACCTCCTCCACGGTGGAGCTGGCGGAGAACCTGAAAAAACTCGACCAGGTGCCGTGTCGACTGGTCAGCCCGGTCCGCGCGCGGTGAACCGCCGGGGGGGGGTGTCCATGGGTTTGTCCAACTTGCAGCTGCGGCAGTCGAGATATTGAAGGAAGACCATTCCTTTATCAGCTACCAACCAGGTTTGCGGTGTTCGTCTCAAACAGCATCGGAGAGGGTCTACCATCGACCAGGACCTTCCTTAAGTAAATTATAAAGAGAGAGAAGTTTATTGACTGCCTGTCGAGTCGGATGGAATCAGAATGTGTTTTTGTTCGGTGTTTTTGGGGTGTGAAGTCAAGTCAGGTGGTGTTGCCATCCCCTCGTGATCACGAAGGTGTTTATTCCGGTTTAAAGGCAGCATTACTGTAGTGAACTGGCTGCTGGCTGCCTTTTGTGCTTGAGCGGCTTGTCGTCAATTTCCACCAAATCCATGACGCCATTCCCGTTGGCCAGCGGAAGCCACCAGCTTTTTCGGTCGAAGCCGCTGACCGTCCTCCTTTGCGCAGGCCATTCGTGCACGGGACGCCTTGCTGCGGAGAGCATATCTCAATGAGAAAGCAGATGCCAGCTTCGCCACTCACCGCCGGTTTGGATTATTTTTGTTCGGCAAACACATGCAAAGACATTCCAGATTCGGTCGATCCAGCTGAAGTATGAAGTGGATTTGATTGTGCACAAGCACAATCGAGTTAACTGCCACATGGTGGGTCATTGGACTTTCAGTTTGTTTCCATAGTCCAGAGACATCAAACGTGCTCAACTTAAATTGGCTGAGAGATATAAGGGTACTCGCTGCATGGTTGAATATAATGTGTTTCTGATTGTCTACGGATGTACAATGGGAGCAATGGGAAGCCTTTTGACAAGAATGATGGGTTATAGACTTAGAGACAACATCCTCCACCACTTTGGATCTGGGAAAACCAATCGATATGTCCATCATTTTCCATCTATCTCCACAGCAACTCAGCAATTCTGGGTTTCCTCTCAGGCAGTGGGCTGCTCACTGCCCTGGAAACAGCCACGTCGTGTCGCGCGGCCCCGCGCGCGGGCTCAGGTGAACAGCAGTCAACGCTTGACCTTCCTGGCCATCGGTGTCACGGGCACGGGCAAGTCGGAGTTGTGCAAGTGGCTCACGGGCACCAAGGGATGTGTGAGCAGCGACAGTATGGAGAGCAACACCAGTCACTGGGATGAAATGATGGCGGAGAACGAAGATCGCTGGTTTTTGTGTTGTGTTTTCTAATGATATTATGGTTGGTACCAATTATAGATTGACTGCTTAGTGGGCTTGTAGATTTGCTGTGGCTATTTTCCTACTGGACAAGCAGGGTATATGATGATGATGATGATGATGATGATGATGATGATGATGATGATGATGATGATGGTGATGGTGATGGTGATGGTGATGATGATGATGATGATGGTATCTATTATATATATATGTATATAGACATATACACTATTGGGCCAGATAGATCATAGAGTCATAGACCCTTTTACTACTGTCTGTTGTATTTTTGGGCGGTGGTGGCATATGTTCAACCTTTACATTGTGGATTTGTCCACATCAAATCGATCCGCCCACGTTTCGCTCGATGTTCCCAAGCCTCCTCCGATGGGGGTGACGTAGCTTTAAGACGCTCGACGCTCCAAGAGATCAGCGTTTCGGTGCAACGCTGAACCGCTGGGGAAATCGCCGGTGTTTTGGGGGGTGGAATTCATATTGAACACACCTCAAACATGCAATGCATCTCTCCAAGTGGCATGACAGAGAATCCCCGGATCTCATTGCAACTCAAAACTGGGGAATCCAAAATGGATCAACCTCATGTTGTGGATTCTCATGGGACCTGTCAACAAACGAATGCAATTGCCAACGCATAGTGGCAACATCTCCTGGTTTTTGGGGGTGCATCCCCCCAAAGCTGGCTGTTGCGTACATCTTTGTTTACACATTTACAATCCCTGAATTAATCATGGAAATGGGATGTACTTGCCCTCTGGAAGACCATCTTCCTCTACAAACAGCTGGTTTTCCACTTCGATCTGTCAATGTTTTCTCCGTGTCATTCGCGGAAAACGGTGTTTTTCATCGCGCTCCAGGTGATGTGCACGCAGTGCAGGCTCATGCGGCCTGGCAAAAATGAGGTGCATCCTATAGTGAGGCGAAGATGCAGCAGACAAGCAGCAGATCCAATAGGACGGTCAATTCGTGACTGAGGGTCTACATACCAACAAAAACGGGTCGTACTTGAGATGACTGGGGGAGTGTGACTGGGGAAGGTCGCACCTCTTTTTCATTGGCCTTCCCTTTGTTTGGGACCCAGAGTCCTCAACCCGCTGGCTCGAGTCTCGACCCCTTCCGGATCCGGTGATCTGAGGCCTTTGATGATAAGCTTTTGCAGCCGAAGATCGAATGGATCGATACTCCGGGGCGTGGAGATACTCGCGGCGCAGAGCATGATACCAGGCGGGTGATACCGGCGCACGCACAGCACTGTGACGGGTATGATGCACGACGAGTCCGCGGAGCAGATGCGCAAGGCCGACCCTTGATAACCCTGTTGTTGGTGGCGGTGCTTCACATAAGGCAGCATGGGCGTTTGGCGATGTCTCAAATCGGGTACCATGCAAACCCACGAATCTGTTTGTTTATCCCAGGAAAAGTGTCTTCATTGATGTGTTGTGTTTTTCACTGTTTCTTGGATGCTGATTTTGGAGGCTTTGCACGAAAAGGTTGGACATGTTTCTCAGACGTTGTTGGGTATTTTCCAAGTTTGCGTTTGTGTGCAGTTCTGAAACAAAGTTTGAATGTTCAACGTGTCTCCAAATTAGATCTAACTTGATGAGCGTGAGGTACCACCCTGGTGGGTACAATAGAAAGCTGTGAAATGGCAGGAACATCTTTCATGCTTTGATTTGAACTAGTATTATCATTGTAGTCTCGTGAGTCTCGTGGGTGGTTTTTCTTGGCGGCTAGAACTCGCCGTTTTGACTGCTCAGCCAACTTCAGACGATGTTGAAGGTGCACAACTTGTGGGTGTGGAACTCCCAGATTCACAATTCCTGTCCATTCAATTCCAAAGATCACTTTGACAAACTACACTTGAGCTCCTGCTTCATTCATTAACATGGGGATTTACCTCGGTTTAGTCGCTTCAGCGTCCCCACACGACCATCCTCTAGTCGACCATTCGGGGTGTGTTGGATCGGACGGCGAGTTGTTGGGATCGGCAATGCGGCATACATAGTATCCCATTGATACGATCATCACGGCCCATTATTGATAGATATATATCCCATAGTATCCCATCTCTCCAAATTGTGATCTTTTTTTTTGTTTTTCGGGGTGTGTTGGAGTCGGTAAACGATGATCACCATTTTTGGCAAGACTGGCCTAGACCAGGCCCATCATCCACTAGACTGGACCTGCAGAGCCGATGAGAATGATATGAGTTGTGGTTACTGGTAGCTTCTTGTTCGTAATGCCCTTGTTACTAGTAGCGATGCACTAGTAACTTCTTGTTATCCTTCCAAAATAGTTCTTTCAAATATGAGGTGGGGCTTGCGTGCTGTTTAACTTCCTAGTTGTCTAAGAACCGAAATGTCCCAACTCAGCGGCTGGTGCCACGCTGCAAGCACCACATATGGCCACACGCGTGGCGCTGCCGTGCAGGCTCTGGAATCAGACCATGACCCAGCTTTTAGCGCGTGGTCAAAGTGGGAGCAAGATCGACTGCATCGTTTGGGTCACTTGGTTGCTTTCAGTTATCATATCACGTGCGAACACAGGTGGTCATGTCGTGATTGATTTCTCCGGGATGTCCTGAACTCGGGGAAGCTTCACAGCCACTGGACTCAAAAGAGGTCGTGATTCGATGTCCAGTCCACCAGTTGTGGGGAACCTGTGATGTATACGTTTCCATTCCCCTGTTTCTGAATGTTATATAATGGGGGAAGGCTAAATATCCCCTGGATTCCCCTGGTATATTTCATAACATACTAGGACCCTCCTGTCGGGGTGTCCAATGGACTACCCCACACTACCGCACTAGGCTTCCAGACAGGGCACCCCGATGGTCGGAGGGTCCTGGTATATGGTATGTTTAGTGCATAGAACTTCCCCTGGGAACGTCTACCTTCCCCTATGATCCCCTATGTATGTATAGAACTTCCATGAACTTCGCCTGCAAACGTCCACCTTCCCCTGTTAATCGTCTATCGACGACCATCTCCGATCCCTCAGGTGGTCAATGCAGCGTGGCAACGGGCCACCGAAGTCCGGTTCCTCGGCGCCCACCGGAACCGTCCGGCCACCGGAACGTCGCGTACGACGTGCGCGTCGAAGTGGAGCGATGGACGGATCAGGATGGAACCGTTTGGTGTTGGGTGTGTGTGTTTGGTGTGGTGTTTGGGTGTTGGTGTCAGTTTTTCTTTTGGTGTTTTTTTGGTTGGCTGCTGAAAGAGCGTGAACTGGCAGCTTCTTGTTCTCCAAAACTCTGAGCTTTTTGTGCAAGATTACAAAAGCCGTGTGATACCTCAACCCCGAAACTCTGGAGTCCCAGCCTCCAGTTGTCTTCACCACTGGTCAAGTAGATCTCCCGGATTGCTGAACCCAAAACCACCGTTAAAAAAAAGAGAAAACTCCATAAAACTCCCCATTTGACGATCGGTCGAACTCCGGGCATACGGACCCGAAACAAAGCAACGACCGACATCAGGGTGGTCCGGGTGGGTGGTCCACGAGCTGAGTCTGCGAGACGAACATCGCCTGAACTGCGTGTCCAGGATTCTTGGGGTATCGATGTGTTCCAGTCGACTCAAATGGTATAGATGTGGCCCAGGAATCCTGGGAGATTTGGGGTTAGGAGATCGGACCAGTCTCTATCCAGTCTCTTTCCAGGCCATCGGAGTAGTCTACTCTGGATGGACATGAAGAGTTTCATCCAATTCCCCAGGCCTTCCATGTATGCAATATCTACCTCCATTGGCATTGGAGGCATCTCAAAATCACATAAATCACCCCAATGTAGGGAATAGGAAAGGGATTGAATCGGATTGACCTCAAGTGAACATTCGGTGCCAGGAATCGAATGCTGAAGGAGCTGCGGAAGTCTTTTGGGGTCGACTTGTACAAGATCCATGGCAAAGACACGTTGACAAAAATCAGAAGCCATCGATGAAAGATTGACCAACGGAAGGAATATTCACATCATGATGATGATGATGATGATGATGATGATGATGACATACTGTATGATTATCATATGATTATCGTAAATCACAAGGTGTTCTTTTCTTGGTCTATCCTGGAACCAATGTAGATCAATTCCCAATAGATCCAAGATGCCCCGGGGCACGGCATCCGTTGGATCGACGGAACGGAGTGACCGAAGAATAAATTCAACAAAGATTATGAAGTTCCAGAAGTTTTCAGAACCAGTGAAGATTATGAAGTTCCACAAGATTATGAAGATTATCAGGGGGGTTGTGTTGTTTTCAGGTTCTGGAAGTTCTAAGATTCTAGATGCCAGTGGCACTGAGCAAAAGCACCCAGGCAGACACTACTTCAAATACAAAAAAAACAATTGTTCTGCACCGGCAACGTATATGACTTTTGAAACGTGTGATCTACAGTGTTCATCAAATGGCCTTTCCTTGCATTTCTTTGGATGATTGTGTCTTCAAGAGCCATTGTGTTTGCACATGCAGCGTTTTCGTGCATTGCGAGACTACTTGTACCGCCACGGTGACTTCCATGGTAATTCAACCTCAACCTCAACCTGAGTAGGACATGTTCTAAAGGTTTTCTTGGTCCTTTGCATCGGGGAACGAAAGAATCCAGAAGACTCCTGTGTCTCAACCGATGGATCTAGCTGGCACGCGTTTGAAGCCACCCCACTCGACACCGGCATGACCCCACTCTGACTCACGTTCCGTTGAAGTGGATGTCATGATCCCTAGTGGTCCCTTGGAAGACTTCTTTCTGCTACGAGTATCGATGACTTCGATCGGCTTTCCGTCTTTCGTGTCGACTATCCCGTGACCCGAAGCCGATCGAAGTGTCCCTCCACAGCGATCTCCCCCGGCCCCTCGCGAATCGACCCCTCACACAGACCGAGCACAAAACTGTGAGGAACTTGGTGATCATGTTGAACTTCCTCCCACACAGCGCCAACAAGACGGCCTATGAGGAAGTCAAGAGCCGCCTTGACAAGAACCTTAGGAGACCATCGCATGGGGATGTCCTCGCCCTGCAACCTAATTACAGGTTTATAGTGGCTAATAGAGGGCTTGAGACACTATGTGTCTTGACTTCCATGATTTTTGGGAGTGTAAATGGTCTTGTTTCTCTTTCCTTCCCCAGGGTCCTGGGCCTTAAAGCGTCGACCAGTGGTTTCGGCATCGGCGTCTCAGGGGACTTAGGACTTCAGCCGCTGAGGCCGACAGAAGGAGAAGTTCGTGGATTGGATTATGAAGCGAGAGGATGAGATGTTTAATTGGCCCGGCTACCTTCGCAAGGTGGGGCTGTGCTAATATGATCAGGAGTTTTGATGTTGTGCAAGCCATGCCCTTCACCATAGGTATATATAATACAACATCATATTAGCTATAATTATAACATAGTATATATTATTATTATAGAGTATATTACTATTATTGTTATTATTATATATATATATTGTACGATAAGTTGTACTATATAATAACAATACAATATTATGGATTTGCCAGTGCACAAAACAAGAGTGCTGTTGGGCTGGAGTAAACCAGCCCATTACAACATGAGCTTGCAGATGTAGCTGTTTTAGTTGTTCACATTGAGGTAGCCATGGTGACATAACGAACCACGTTCAGAAATGATGCAGATGAGTCTTCAACAGGAGACATCACTGTGTAGGGGTCTAACAACAATCTTTGGTTTCTAATGTCAATGACATGACAAGTCCTACTAAATGAGGTCTAAGAATAAGTGTCACTGTTTTTTTTTACATGTTAAAAAGAAAAGGAGGGATGTTAAGGCTGCTAAGGAGTCAAAGTTGTGATTCTTTTGAATCCCACACTGGCATGAACATGCTCAGCCTGGTACTGGTTCAGCCAGGCAGTGGAAGAGGAGGTGCAGAGCATCCGGGTTTACGGTGCTGACATCAATCCCAAATATCTTAAAGATAAGCCAAGCGACTCGGCAGAGCAGAGCATGATGCTGCGGGCTCCTGCATGTGTTTTTGAGCCGCAAAAAACAGATAGGCAGGGAGATTTTGTGGAGACTTCACCACACATTTGGGAATCAAATGAAATCAAGTGCCTTTATTGTAACTTACCTATACTGTGCCCTTGTGGCCAAGAACTTGTTTGTGCATCAGAAGCTGCTGATATTTTCCTCATGAAGGCTCAAGAGTACAGCCTCGGTGTCCGAGTGGTAGTGCCAAGTGCATGGAATGCTCAGAACACATGCACCAAAGAGCTTGATGATGTTTGATGGTCTAGGTATACCCAGTGGTCCAAGTTCTGCCTAAACTGCTTCCCCTACCAAAAGCGTAGATGGACAAAGGCTAAGAATCTATATAATTTGGTCAAACTGATAGAGTCAGAACGTGATACGCCCCTGTCGCTTGTAGTTTGTTTCATCAGCCCGTGTGGAAATTCGTCCGATTGCATCTATAGCAAGTGTTCGAAGAGGATCCAAAACATGACAAGCAATGCCAATGCTGTACTTTCGGGTCTTTTTGTTTCTCCAAGAGAACCAAACCACCTACCATTCACTAGCTGTCCACAAAGCTCCTGTTCATGGAAGAACTCCTGCACCGCCTGCACTACATATTATTTATGCATATTATAGGGTTTTGTATGGTTTGGGAGGCCATCGCTCTTAGTTTTTCAAGGCTGTCCGCCGCGGCGCGGTCCACTCCCTTCGCATCCCGAGGTCACGTGCCGGTGTCCGCGCCCTACTTGAGCGACTTCCCTCCCTTTTCACATCCCGTGGGCAGCGCTCCTGGGCACAAGAAAGGAAGGCGTTGGAGGCTTTTTGCGCTGTGGTGTGGCAGGTGATCGGTTCGAGATTGAGAGAAAGGAGTTCAAAGAAGATGACACAATCTGCCTTGAAACCCTATAGAAGATGCTTGTGGAGGAGGGGTTCTATGTGAACCACCTTGAGGGGTTGCGCCATCTACACTGAAACCACTGGATATGTTTTGGGCTACTGGAAGCCTACAATTTCCCGGATTTGTATGCATTTGTCACTTCCCAAGCCACCGGCCAGCTGCCACGTTTTTTTCAGGCAGGGTGCGAGGATCATTTATTGATTCATATTGATTAGATGCAGGGACCCAGAGTTGGCAGAAGGAGATTGCGTGTGAAAGAGAGATGTTCTCGTGGCATGTGAGTTTGTTTGAATCATGTGCAAGTCATACTCCGTGTCGATGTCCTAAGGAAGATTTGATGAAGTTGATTCGCGATACCTGGGAACGCAAGAAGAGCCCCACTTCCGGCTTGCTACTGGACAATCCACATCCACGTAACTTGGCTTTGAGATGTTGGCCTTCTGAAGACACACTCGAATGAAGAAGTTCGCACTCTCAGTAAAATACAGACAGGAAGATGTTGGTGAAAGTTACATGAAACGCCAAACATCAACATCTTGTAACGTTGGAATTGTTCCAAACACCAAAACTCGTTGGAAGATGACACCACATGGAAGTTCTCGAGTTCTCATCTTGGACATGTTTTTTGCCGCTTGAACTGAGTTGCTTTCAAAAGGACTTGAAAAGAGCCGGCTGTCCAGCAGGTCCAGAACCAAAGTTTCGAGACATCTGGAGATTAGTCCGAGACTTCACGTTCTCTTGTTCTCTTGTAATTAGACGTTTATCCTTACTTTTGACAGTCGTACCAGGGTGTACTTATCATAGCATCTTAGTGGCAATTATTTGGCAGTGTTTTGCTTCCAGCTACTGAGCTATACTGTTTCCCTCCCTTTTTTTCCGAACGCTTCTCCGAGCTTCTTGCCGCCACCTGCACTGTGATCCCCCGCACCCTGAGAGGTATCGGCCCCGGTCTGGTGGAGAACGCCTCCTTGTCGCTCTCCTGTGGCTGGCAAAAGCCCCAAGAAGGTGTCCTGACTGATAAGGACAACCAGGACAAGCGAATTAGTGGTACTCGTAAGCATGGAAAGCTTGGTGTTGATACATGTGTTTACCACTTGTTTAGTTATTGCTTTCAGTTTGAATGGTTTCCAATTGGCCATGGTTCCCCGCCCCCGGGAGTAAAGACTAGTCACACCCTTTGATGGTTCCGTAGTGTTTGGCTCTCAGGCAGCCTTTGATGTCCTGCAAAGGCTGTAACAACCGCTTGAGGCTAGCGGTTGGTACATCTGGCCAGTGCAACGCTTGCTACCTGGCCACTCGAATCGAGCGTGTTGTGATCACCAGGTACCCACCAGCGAAGGCTGAGGAACTTACCCACTTCTTGGCCAAAGTCCTCAACACCTTGGAGGCCGACTCGGAAGCCTTCGAGGCTGACAAGACCGCCGGCGTGGTCGATCAGAACGGGTACCTGGTGAGCGGGGGTCAGGACAGCAAGAGCAAGCCTGCAGCACCGTTGGCCGCGGGGGTTCACCCTGGAGGTTCACACCCTGAGGCTGGCTCGGCCGTGGTCAAGAAGGAGAAGCAGGATTCAGAGGAAGCAGTCACTCCTGGACCGACATCGAGGCACAGGAGACGGAGGCGAGAAGACAAAGCACGGTCCCGCAGCCGGAGTCGCAGGAGGGATCGCAAGAAGCCGAAGAAAGAGCCTAGCCCAGTGCCAGAGGAGGAAGTTGAGGCAGAGCCTGAGGAGGAATTAGACGACGCAGAGGACGAAGAAGCAGTTGAGACAGACGAGAAGGAGGACGACGACGAGGTCGCTTCACACCACGACGAGGTCAGCCCGGATACAGAGGTCGCAAGAGACCCGGAAGGAGCCGGACTCCGGAAAGTGCCACCAAAGCCTTCCGCACGAAAGCCACTTCCGAGGAGACCGAGGACACCATCGAGATCACCGCCGGGATACCGTGGACATCGTCAGGACGGACCCAAAAAGTGGAAAGGAGTTAAACATATCATTCGGGGGCAGACCCTGGGCTACAGCAGCAAAGGCAGACCGCCGAAAGGCAAAGGAAAGGGGAAATGGCACCGAAGATGAGGAGGCCTGCGAGAGCAGAAAGCCCGCCACGCAGGAGAGGAGATGTTCGTCGGCCCGCAGCTCACATGGAAGGAGAGGAACCACGGGGCGAGGCGGCCCTGCCGTGGGATCCCAGTGTGGGGGATCTTGTGATCGCCGACGGAGCCCATTACTACGGCGTTCCGTGTCGCTTCACCGGTCGCATCACCGAGGACACCAGGGACGCGTCGGGGCGACACCTGGGCATCAAGCTGCATGGCACAGATCACGAACCCCTGCTCACATGGGCCACGGGGGCCACTACACCGGCGCGCGTGCATTTGTGCCCCGAGGGATGCTCCAGAGCGGCAGAAGGACCAGGGCTTCTTCACTGCAGCGATCTCCGGAGCATTCGGTCGCTAGAGGAGTTAGTCGGAGTCCCCTGGCGAGACGTTTTGTTGGAGGGGCGCGCCAAAGGAGAGGACGAGCTAGCAGGTCTGAGGAGCCGGATGGATGCAGTCGGGGGACCAAGCCCTGTGGTGGCAGCAGCCGTGGCCGAGATCGAGGAGAAAGCAAAGAAGTCAAAGGAGGGAAAAGAAAAGAAGAGGTCGAAGAAAAAGAAGAAGAAAAAGCGAAAGAGAAGCCGCACACCTCGATCAGCGAGCGAAGAATCAAGGAAAGGAAAAGAGAGGAAAAAGAAAAAGGAGGCGGGGAAAAGCCCTGTCAGCTCCTCCAGCTCCACGAGCAGCTCTTCGACTGTGGAGTTCAAGGAGGTCGGACAAGAGGTGCTCTTCCGAGGGTCAGGGATGGACCCCAACATCCGCACCTGCCGGAAGCAGCGTCGCCGTGCACAACGCATGGCCCGGCGATCCTATCGCAAGAAGGAGGACAGTCGGTCGGCATCTTCAGGAGACGGGGGAGACTTGGCCCTGAAGGGGGATCAGATCTTCGGCGAATCCCAGAAAATTCGAGCAGTGGCCCTTCAGTTTCCAGGTGTTCTGACATCGCAAGCAGTCGAGCAGATGCAGGAACTACTGGTACAGGAGTTGGGCCAAGAGCGACAGCAGGATGGCCCTTGGAGCCCCACGTATCTCAGATACTTCAGACAAACGCTGTTCCGCAAAATGTCTGGTCCGATGTCCAGGGAAGCTCTGACGTTGGCTACAATAGCAGACCAATTATTGAAGGGCATGATTCCGGGGGCGATGGACACCCTGACACAGAGGATGAAGTCGCTAGAAGCGCAAGCCTCTGGCCTCGCGTGGACGTCAGCACAGCGGATGGAATTATTGCCCCCAGACGGGGCCAGCCTATCGTCGAGGCAAGAGCTATCGATAGCAGCAGCGGAGCATCGCGCCGAAGTGAAGGCCCACCAGGTGGGGACTTGGAAGGAGTGGGGCAAAGGAAAGGGCGGAAAAGCAGAAAAGGACGATGGCGGCAAAGGAAAAGGAAAAAAGGGGAAAGCAAAGCCCAAGAAGGAGTGAGGATGACCAGCGGCTTGGAGGATGCAAGCGGCAGTGGCTATGTGGAGGCGGGGCGGGTGTGCCCTGGCAGTGTTATAAATGGAGGTGAGCGGGGTGAGGCCCTGGACCATCAGCGGGGCATTACAGACACTACAACAGCTGCCCTGGGTGATCGGGGGGTGAACCCTGTACAGGGTGTTGATTTGAAGGAGGAGGTCATTGGCGCCCAGTTGAAGAGGCAGACAACTGACCTAGCTGGAGGTTTCCTTACAGCATTGAGCACTACGAGTCGGGGTGGAAACCCTGAAGGGGCAGAAGTGGAGGATGCACCATTCCCTCCCCTGCCCCCACGTATTTCTCCGAGCGCTCACCTCGCGAGCGCAGCGCCTGGGTCGGTGATGGATTGCCGTACAGGTGGCGAAGACCTTCCGGGGCAAAGCCCTGCTCGACGCACAGAGTCGGGAAAAGGACTGTGTGGCAAGAGGCTTAGGGAGATGGGGGAGGATTTAGTCGTTGCTTTTCGGAGGGTTTCGTCGCTCTGCAGCCAGACCACGGCGAAGGGTGGGGACCCTAAAGCTTTTGGGGCCAAGGACACCCCCCCATCGCCCTCGTTCTCGAAGCCGATGAGCCCTGGGTCGTCGATTGGGCACTCGCCATTTGCATGGGTTTGAATTCACTTTGGGGATGCCCGGCCGCTTCACTGCAGGATGGGCCGCCCAGTTTGGTGCATGGGACGGTGTCGGAGGTGCACACCCGCGTCCTCCGGTCGATCGCTCGAGACGTGACTCGGCTGGGAGGGATTGATGAGGTGACACAGGACTTTGAATGGAGTTCGTTTTTCAGAACGCGGACCATTGATTACAAGGGGGAGGAAGTTAAAACAGCACAACAATTCACATGGCGGAACATCAAACCTGCCATCCCGCGTGAGATTGGTGTGGTGGATTTGAAGGATATTTGTGAGCAAGGCTGCAAACATTACATCGAACATTTTCCAGATTACCTCAAACCCTCCCACGAGTGGGAGCCAATTCGGAAAGCAAAGGTCATGGTAGCAGACAGGGACTGGACAGAAGTGGCGACTGGACTCATTGAAGCAGGGATTTTCGGGGTCCTCCCTGAATCGGAGATTTTCAGGGTACACGGGAAACCATTGCTAAACGGATTATTTGGAGTTGAGAAGCACGAAGAAGAAGAGGGCATTCCGATTTACCGCTTAATTATGAATCTGGTGCCACTCAATGCCCTGTGTCAAGGGCTGCACGGGGACATCACAACCCTGCCGCACTGGTTTGGCATGACCCCCTTTCATATCGAGCCTCATGAGTCAGTCGTAGTGTCAAGTGAAGATCTCCGGTGTTTCTTTTACACCCTGCGATTACCCAGCTGCTGGTATTTATGCTTCAACAAAAGGCTGCCAGCCGATTTGGTGCCAGCAGAACTCCGGGGGCAGCCCTGCTATCCCTTCTCGAAGGTGTTGCCTATGGGTTTTCTGAACAGCGTTGGGATAGCCCAGCACGTACACCGGGTCCTGGCTTTACGGTCCCAAGCTCACAATCATGCCCGTGACAGCTCAGGGCACGAAGTACGGAAGGACAGAATCCTGCCGGAGGGTAAGGCGGTCTGGCGCGTATATCTTGACAACTATGACTTGCTTGAGAAGTATCCCCACGAGGTCTTGGGCGACCTTGACGGGGAAGTCGCCCCGGAGGTGCTGGCCCTGAGACAGGAGTATCAAGCTTGGGGGCTGCCTCGTCACCCTGGAAAGGCGGTGAGCCGAAGGACGATCGCCGAGGTACAAGGTGCCGTTGTAGACGGGGAGAGGGGCATCGCCTACCCAAAGGGGCAAAAGTTGTCGAAGTACATCACAATCGCGTACCAGCTGGTGAATGAGACTCACTGCTCACAACGACAAATGCAAGTAGTGTGTGGCGGCCTGGTCTATTTCTCCACTTTCCGCAGGCAACTGCTGGGCGGTCTCAACCTCTGTTGGGCTTTCATTGAGTCTTTCAACTCCTGTGGTCGTCACAAGCAGCTTATTCCAAGCGGCGTCAAGCACGAGATCATCCGTTTCCTCTGTTTGGTCCCCCTTTGTCGCATGGATTTCCGCTTGAACCTAAACCCCAAGGTCACGTGCAGTGATGCATCACAGCATGGTGGAGGAGTGTGCGTGGCCACTAGCCTCACCACTTACGGGGAGAAGGTGGCCCTGGGTGAGGAGCGCCGGGAGATGGTAACCAGCGGTGGACAGCGGATTTTGAGCATTGGACTATTTGACGGGATCGGATGCCTCAGGGTCGCGCTGGATCTGTTAGGGTGTGATGTGATAGGACACGTGAGTGTGGAGAAGGACATGGCCGCCCGGAGGGTGGTCGAGCATCACTTTCCGGATACTTGGCACTATGACGACGTTGTGGAGCTCACGGAGGACGATGTGAAGCGATGGTCATTGCGCTTCGGACAGGCCTCGCTGATCCTGATCGGGGCGGGGCCACCCTGCCAAGGAGTATCGGGACTCAATAGTCAACGGAAAGGGGCATTGCGAGATGAGCGATCTTCATTATTTGTCCACGTCAGGCGGCTGCGAGAGATGGTCCAAAAATACTTCCCTTGGGGACAGGTGCATTGCCTGATGGAGAGCGTGGCGTCCATGGACGACCGGGACAGAAGAATCATGTCGGATTCGTTCGGGGAGCAACCCTGGGAGATTGATGCCGGAACGCTTTGCTGGTGCAGTCGTCCTAGGCTATATTGGATGACCTGGGAGCTTAACCCACATGGTGCGGACGTGGAGATCACTGGAAGGCGCGTTACCTTGACGGGGCATCAACCCTGGTCGACCTCCGTTGAAACCGGTTGGGCTAAGGTCGATGAGAACAGGCCGTTCCCTACCTTCACGACGTCGAGACCGCGCACAACACGGGGACATCGCCCTGCGGGCCTGGATGCATGCGACAGAGCCACTATCGCAAGGTGGGAGGAAGACCTCCACAGGTTCCCACCATATCAATACATCCCCCGCAACTGCCTGGTCAACAAGCGCGGTGAACACCGCCTCCCCAACATTCGTGAAAGGGAGTACATGATGGGGCTTCCGGTGGGGTACACGCAAATGTGCATGCCGAAGTCCATGCGGAAGCACGTTGACTGCAATGACAAGCGGCTCACGCTGGTCGGTAATGCGTGGGCCGTGCCTGTGGTGAGCTGGTTAGTTGGTCAGTTGGTTGGACCTCGGGGGGGCAGGTCCCCTGCTGTCCCCTGAAGGAGTGCTATCGCGTCTTACGCTGGAAGGCAACCCGTTCATTCAATCACGCCTGATGCGCCCACCTTTGAGGACTGATCAGCAGGCAAGCGGGGCTCCTGAGAAGACCCTGGTACAGCAATTGGGACGCCTGGTCTCCACCAAGGGCTCGGACCTCATGTTAACAGCAGCTCAAGACGAGATCCAGAGCTATCAGCGCCTGCGACATACGGTCAACGCCAAGATGTGGCGGTGGAGAGTAGTTTCGGGCTGGAGATGGCGCACACCAGGCGAGCATATAAACTCCTTGGAGCTGAGGGCTATTTTGGCATGTCTTCGTTGGAGGTGCGAGCACTTGAGGGAACAAGGATCGCGTTTCCTTCATCTCACAGATTCCCTGGTATGCCTTCACAGCCTCACTCGTGGTAGGACGTCCTCCCGTCGTTTACGCAGAACCCTTTGCCGGATAAATTCGCTTCTATTGGCACACAACCTCGGCGCCCTTTGGGGCTATGTGCATACTGACCTGAACCCGGCGGATAAGCCGTCGCGGTGGTCAGTCAAGACCAAATTTAAACATGCCAAGGGCCGTATTTGAAGGTACCACCCAAGCCAGTAGAGCGAAAGAAAGGCAAAGGTTAGGAAGTCTGAGGGGCCTTACGGTCCAACCTGCCACTCGTGTTCGATACGATCGTGCTTTAAATCGTTTCCTATCCTTCCTCAAAGAGGAGGGTTTGGAGTTGCCCACACGCCGAAGTTTTTTGGACCCTCTAGCCATGGAATATATAGAACACCTCTGGCGTACCGGGGAGGGGCGTGGACTGGCCGCCGATACCCTGGCGTCATTACAAGATTTTGACGCAAAGATTCGGGGGCAACTCCCTGGAGCCTGGCGCCTAGTTAAGACATGGGTCACCCATGAGCTGCCCAACCGGGCGCCGCCCATGCCAGAGACCGTTCTCCAAGCCATGGTGGGCTGGAGCCTGTATCATCAGCATTATTCCTTTGCAACCAGCCTATTGCTGTGCTTCTATGGCATTCTTCGCACTGGTGAATTGCTAGATGTTACTAAGAGCCGGATTGACATCTCGGAAGACCTTCGGGTAGCTGTCGTCAGCTTGGGACTGACAAAGGCCGGCAAGAGAGCCGGAGCCCAGGAGAGTGTCACTGTCGGACATGACACTGCTTTCCGTTTTTTGCAACACTGGATGACACTTGCTACCACACACCAACGTCTCTGCCCGCCGGCTCCCCGCTGGCGGAAACTTTTTAAGTCCTGCATAGAAGCCTTGCACCTTGAACCCCTTGACCTGAGACCGTACTCCCTTCGTAGGGGGGGGGGCCACGTGGTGGTTCTGCCAGCATGGTAACCTAGATAGGGTCATGCTTCTAGGTCGGTGGCAGGCCCAAAAGACGGCCCGTCTTTACCTCAACGAATCCAGAGCGGTTTTGACGGAGATGCAGATAGGTCCCTTTCAGCAGTTTTTGACACCGTACCGTGCGTTCTTTCAGAATTCCACCCCCAAGTTTTTCAAAACACTTGAGCCGCTGCAAAGCAGCAGGCCGCCCGCCCGAAATCGGCGGCTCGGGGGAAGTGGAAACAAGGGAAGAAAATCCCTAAAGCGACCGTCAAGGAGCTCGTA